TTAAGACTTTCAAAAGTCTCAAGTTGGGACTTTTAGAGGTCTCAAATCAAGACTTGAAAGTCTCAATTAGAGACTTTCCGAAGTCTTTCCGAAATTCGACTTGAATTTAGATTTCAAAAGTCTTAGTTAAGATTTTCAGAATTTCACTGGCAGAAAAATTTCAAGTTGAGTTCAGAAACTCTTATCTTCAGCCATTCAAAAGGATCGACTTGAGTCTACTAAAGTCTCAAATTAAAACCTGCAACAGTTCCAACTTGAAACTTTAGAAATTCCTTCCAACTTGAAACTTAAGAATTTCGGGCTTCAAGTTGATGTATTTTCTGTAAAATTTTTGTCTTAAATTATTGTCTTGGGATATACCCTAAGACTTTGAAAATTTTATTTTAACCCCTTTGAATTTCCAAATTAAAGTACTATTTTTTGGAAATTTTTTATTTTTCATTTTTTTATATATATTTTTTGAATTACGTATTATAATGTTTGTTAACCCCCATTTCATCACCCACATCTCGTTGGGAAAATCACTGTGGGCTCACTCAAACACACGCAATTAAGCGATTTTCCCGAAATAAGAGGGAGCCAGTACATCAAGATAACTACACGCTGCGTGCGTTTACACAGCGCATACTTAACTTCACAACTGCTGGAATTATATATCCCTTGCGCTCTGAATCAATCATTTCGGGATTATAACGCAGTCATTGGAGGAAAGGAGGGTTTCGAGGCCGTGCCCTTGGCTTAAACTGATGAATAACTTCCTTTTTCTTATGAAGGGGAAACCTACAATACATGTATTCAAAATGGAAGCCCTCGGATTTCAGTTATTTTGGCCCCATTTTCCATTTCACATGACGTTAACGCACATTTCACAACTGTCGAGGAGAAAAATGAAGAATGGGAGCGAAGGACTTGAGCGATATAGTGTTGGTGGTCCGGTTGACGACTCGAGACAATGAATTTACTTCATAAATCTCAATTCAGACTTGTCTACTGGTCAATTAAAATTAATCTTTCGGATGGGACCACCGCAGCCACAGCTGCCAACTTATTTGCCTACGAGACGTGATTCTTTCTTTATTACTTCCGAATTGAGACTGTGAATAACAATTCATTAAGACTGTATTATCAATTGAATTGAAATTGTCGGGTATTTATCGAAATTTCAGTGACAGTTACATGTCAATTATCATGTATTTCTCATTGATCTCGAAAGTTGAATGAAATGTTTGAAAAATTTTCAAACAAAATCATTGTAAAATGTCCGGAAACTGGGGGTCAAATGGGGCTCAAATGAAATGATTGCGGAAAAAAATATCCAAAGTACTTGGATATCCTTAAAGGATGGACATTCTGTTCCGGGTAATTTTTTTCCTCAATTCATCCAACCGGGCACGAGTCGACCGGTTTCCGTCCACCACCTAAATTGATAATCCCGATTTTCTAGTCGATTGATGGGAAAAATTAATCATGCGTGACAAGAATACACGATTCCACTCGAAAAAAAACATTGGGAAAAGGATCGGCAATAAATCCACTGGGAAAAAAGTAACAATTGGGAAGTGCCAAAAGTATAATGCACCAAGTTGAGATGTGTGTATTTTTGGACTAACCGCAAAATTAAGATGTATCGCTAATCCGGTGCGGATAATTTGCATGTCCCGCCTACGCGACGGTTTAACGTCCTCTCATGATAAAAAGCAAGGCCCACCCATGGTTGACGTGCCCGACATATTAATTTCACTTGGCTTTTTTTATTTTCATTTCATCAATCAGTTTTCAGCCGCAAAATGTGCCAAGGTCGAATAAATTCTGCGTTATTTCACCGCTTGCATTGACATGTTCTGTTTTTCACCTCATTTTCGCGCATCAATCGAGTTACAAATGAAATTTAATGGTAAATTCCACCTTGCTGTGCGTTAAGCAACCGGATTCCTTGATTTATTGTTCACTCGATATTGCAAATAGAGTGGAGTAACGTGACATTTGAAAAAAAAATTGAAGCAATCCCTTGCAATGGAGTTGAATGAATAATGCAGGCATTTTTCTTCCGGTGTATCTTATGTCTGCGGGATTATGGGACAAGGACGGATAGATGATATGTGATAATTGGAGCCTCGTAATTCGAATTCTCCAGCAGACAAGAAAAATTTTTAATCGAGTGTTTTTTGCTTCCGGGGGGAAGCTTTGTAATCGCTCAAATCTGAGTTTCTAATTGACACAACTGTTAAGTTGCAGCCCACTGTTTATTTAAAATTGTTTATTTGAAAGAAAAAATCGCATAGCCAATTTATTAGGAACAATAACTATACTAATTTATAAAACAATGCAATCGTCCACTTGTTTTGCCGTCCCTTTGGATCATTACTCATTCAGTCAATGAATCAATAGTTGCAGGATTGCATCTGCATAATAACTAAAGCAAATAATTTTACTCATGATTTTTACTCACGAAATGAAGTAATAGTCAGCCCTTCTTCCCCATTATATGTTCTATTAACACATTAGCCTCGCTCGCGTGTTCGCAAGCGCTATATACGGGAGGGGAGTAGTCTGCCTTCTCTCATATAACCTCGATGCTGATATAGGCACCCCTTTACACTACTATCTGCTGTCATTGAACCGTAGCGAATTCAAACGATCCTAATAATGCATTTAATGAATTCGTCAAATTGATTCAGAATTGTTAATTGAAGTTTTTGGCCTGAGAGTTAGAGTCAAGAAAAGTAAAGCAGGAAAATTTATAAACCTTCTGCTTTCTAGATATTGCTGAAGAGAAAGTAAATGACAAATCGCTAAATTCACTGAGTTAATCTGACATTTATTTATAGCTGAAATAAATAATTTGATTAATACCTTATTGTGCGATTTCAAAGGTCTTGAAATAAAATTTTCAAGTCTTAATTTGACATTTTGAGAATTTAAGCCTTCTTAAAGTCTCAAGTTGAGGCTTTTGAATTCTCAAATTAAGTTCTTCTAAAGTCTCAACTTGAGACTTTCAGAAGGCTTAAATTGGTCTTAATTTAAGACCTTCAAAGTCCCAAGTGTAGACGTGAAATTTTTTTAAGTGGACTTGAGACTTTAAAAAATCTCAATTTGAGCCGCTCAAAAGTCTCAATTTAAGATCCCAAGTCTTAAAATAAAGCTCGTTTTTCTCGAATGAATGCTCAAAAGGTTAAAAGGTTCAGACTGAGCACCACTTTTTGGCCACACAAACGTTGCGGTGGCTCCAATTAAGCGAGTAACATTAATTTCAACCACCCAAGTCCAACCCGACGGTTAATCGTTTACCTCACTCAGTTCTGTTTAAGAAGAGGCTTTCACAGCATCCAACCAACTCTCCATCCCATTTCTTCCACTCACATCTCCGCCGTCTTACGCGACCTAATTTATCCCCTAGGATTAGCATACATCGAAATACAAACTGATGAACATGTTTATGATACACGTGTATCAACATGCTTATAAATCCCGTGAAATGCCTGTACTTAGTGTACACTCACTCGTTACATGGATCTCTTGACATTGCCAGTTGTCTTGTAACTGCTCCACATCTTGCAAATACTCTCTTTTATTTTTAATCCACTACGCTTGGGTTGGCGAACACATGTGACGAGCAAGAAGCCAATATTCGTTATTTCCTCCCGCAATTACTCTCTTTTGAATCACAGATTAATCCTCAGATTGCACTCTCTGCACTCTTCCATTGGAACCACAATTTTTGTTAGATGTTTTAGTCCATATTTTTCCGATGAAGTGGATTTTTAAAAGTCTTAATGAGGCCTGAAATTAAGTTAGGACTTTGGAAGAGCTTAATTTGAGATTTTTAAAGTCTCAAGGTGAGAGCTTTTAAGGTTTCAGTTGGAGACTTTCGGAACGCAACTTGAAGTTTTTTTTCAGGGGAGGTCCGGGAGTCTCAACTTGAGACTTTTAAAAGTCTCAATTTGAGACATTTGAAAGTCTTAATTTGAGACTTCGGAATTTCTCGATTTGAGACTGTTGAAAGTCTCAATTAGAGATAATAAGTCTTAAAATCAAGCTTGTTTTCTTTTATTTATTTGTTCAATTCTCCGAAAACAGGTTAATAACTGAATTGTTTATCTTGAAAAAAGCCTTTTTCGACAGAACATCAGAGCTTTCATTTGAGCCCCATTTGACCCTAAGTTCCCGAAAATTTACCAATGATTTTGTTGTTTAAACTTTACAGGTCTGAATTTGAATCTCGATATTGAACCGTTAATGACAACGTAATACTCACGCCAAGCAAATAACACCTAATTATAACGTAATATAACATGCTCACAGAAATTATTCCGTACTAACTTCAGAAAAATTAATAAGCATCGAGAGCTTTTCCCACCCATTACTTCCCTCAATTCCCAATTGTTTCAAATTATTCATGACGAGCCCGGGGAATTACGATCTATGGGACAGTAACTTCCGATTGTCTATGCAGCTTAATCGGCATTTAATTGCCGAGCAGGAGCGGGGAGTATATTTAACAAGACGCCCGGGAAAAAAATTCCCCGATTACTGTTAATTTTTTTTTCAATCAAGAAATAGAGATCGTGCGTTCGCCTCCAAGTAGAACAAAGAATTGAAGTGAAAAATATCGTGACGTTTTTTCCCCTCAAAAAAATACAACAATTAAATAACGAAAGAAAAAAACGGACGTCATGTATATTACATCTAGAAGTTATACCTAGGTTAAAGGATAATGGGGAAGGAAAGGAGAACTACTTAGCCGCGCCTTAATGGAAACAAGTTAACGACCCGTAGAAACGTAAACGTAGACACGTATTCGACTTGCAGTAACGATCAACGAGTGACCAATCGACGGTCATTACTCACGCGGGGGATTTTACTCGCCGTTAAAGCCCGGAGACTGTACAATTTTCATCAATTGCGTTCCCTCGAATTTTATTGATGTATATAAACCCCAATCCCTGTACAATAAAATATTTTTTGTTAATCGGTGTGTATTTTGTTTTTTTTGTTCTCAGGACGAAGTAAGTAATCCTGATACACAGACTGGCAGCTAATCTAAATGCAGAATGATGCTACAAAATTCCTATTCGCAAACTAATTGAACTGATGTAACGGATAAATTGCATATTGTCAAAATGAATGCAAAGAAATAACCAAGTCAGTGGAGGGGCGATGGTAATGAGTTGAATTTCGGTAGTAATGTCTAACTCAGAGTCACCAATGGAAATTAGCGGTTCACGTCTAACCGTACATTGGTATGCGAGATACGTCGAGTTTCTTGCCAGGAGGTCTTGGCATTATTGGTTTTCATCCCCCTTAACACTTCATGAGAGGGCTCAAGCCCCCTTTACTTGAGAGAGGGAGGAAGCCAGGGGAAGTCTTCACCCGAGCAATTAGACTGCCATTTGTTATCTCGAGTCATTCCATTAAGGGAAAACAAAGAAAGTGTTGAGGAGTACATTTGACATTTTTGACATTTCTCAGACGTTTTGAGGGTTTTCGTTTTTCCTCGAATATACAAGGGGTTATGGACTTTGTGTTTTTTGTTAATGTCACAGAGAAATGAAATTATTCGCTTCAAGTCAGAACTTTCATTCAGATTTTATTATTTAAATTTTGCAAGTCTCAATTTTAGGCTCGACATTGAACCGTTAGAAAATATTTTTCAAATCTGAAAAAAATATAAAGTTTACTTTTAGAGGAAGGTTAATGAAATAATTAAAAAACGATTTTTGAAAATTAAGAACATTTTCTGTAAATAATTTATAAACAATCAATTCTCCACCTTAAAAATTGGGGATTTATGGGAACTTTTATTTCTCTGTGATAATAATATTCTGCAAACACGCTCAGAAATTTTTCTTTTAGTTTTCTCGCCAAAAACGGAAATTTATCGTTTAGTTGGGTTTATTATGTAGACCTTAATTACCTCGAAACGGATTGACATTCTTATTGGGGGTTCCTCCACATATGTTCGGGGATAAATGAGAAAGTTCTTCGGGAGTGTTGACTGCATGAACAACGTACGAACTAGCAATAGTATTGGCAGAGGTAAGATGTGAATAGGAAGATACCGTCGGACGTTGATCGTTATTATTTGATTTATTTCCAATTATCCAGTGTCTGCAGGTCATTCATTATTCATTTGGGTTCATAAATTCCGAGAGGAGCAGAACAAATAATATGTTGTGTAAGATAAACTTTGATAGTTCGAGGATTTTTATTTCATTTTTGCATGATCATACACTCTTCCAAGAAAATATTGCGTTGAGGGAAAAAATATTTCTGACCAACATTTTTATGGACTCTTGTCTCTGAAATCGTGATGATGCGATGAATGTGGGAAACAATAGAATGCTTCAAATCAAAATTAGAAATTAAAATTTGAATTAAAAATGTTAATTTAAATTGAAATTGAAACAAGTTTTATTTTGAGACTTGTGATCGCAAATTGAGACTTATGAGAGTCTTGAATTGAAACCTTCCAGTGGCAACGTGGAGCTAAAAGTCTCAAATTAAGACCTTCCAAAGTCTGAACGTGAGACTTTGGAAAGCTTAAATTGAAATTTTCAAGTCTCAAATTACGACTGAAAGACTCAATTCAGACCTTCCAAAGTCTGAACTTGAAACTTTCAGAAGTCTTAAGTCGAGATTTGCATGTCTCAAACTGAGACTTTAAGTCTCAAATTAAGACCTTCCAAAGTCTAAACCTAAAAGTTTCAGAAGGCTTAAGTCAAGATTTGCATGTCTCAAACTGAGATTTTAAGTCTCAAATTAAGACCTTCTAAAGTCTCAACTTGAGATTTTCCAAACTCTCAAATTAAGACTTGCAGGCGTCGAATGAAAGCTTTAAAAAACCTCATTTTAAGACATTTGAAATATCAAAATAAGGTACTATTTTTTGGGTGCAATTACCAGAAATTATAAAACAAACCTTTTGCATTCTCAATTTAAAAAAATGAATTCAACCGCAAAACAGAAGTATTTTCTTCCCTCCGTGGCAAATGTGTCGACTGCTCGCCAGTAATTCAAGCCACATTAAAAAAACAGTATATTTTTCATGGGGTGTTGCACTAAAAATGATCGGAGGTTAACGATGCAGATATCAGCTAACAATAGGTTGTGTTCACGTGTGCCTTCAGGTCCGAGAACGAGGCGGGTGAAGAGGTCGATTGACACGAAAGCCGCTGGTTCAACACCCGAAGAGAAAAGGCCGAGGACTGCATTCAGTGGTGATCAATTAGCAAGACTAAAACGTGAATTTGCTGAGAATCGATATCTCACGGAGCGTAGACGACAGCAATTGTCTAGGGATTTGGGTCTCAATGAGGCGCAGATAAAAATTTGGTTTCAAAATAAGAGGGCGAAAATTAAAAAAGCCAGTGGCCAGAAAAATCCACTAGCACTTCAGTTAATGGCACAGGGACTCTATAATCATTCAACTGTGCCACTCACTAAAGAGGAGGAAGAGCAGGCTGCAGAACTCCAAACTAAGTGATGAAAATTATTTTTTAGTTTTATTAAATAATTCTAAAAAGTATTTTGATTGATTACATCAACTGTACAAATCATGAAAAATTGTTTCACATGCTTTTCTTTTCCTTTCTGTATCGTGTATTTATTATTGTATAGATGAAAATTACAGACAAGAGGTGCATGAAAAAGGAAATGCACTTTTCAATACTTCGTGAATGAAATTGTTTTTTATGAATGCATGGAACAAAGCTCAGTGCCATTTTATTTATTTATTTTCATTTCACAAATTTCTTCATTGAGGATAATGAAATTATAATGTAAAACGAATTCGCCGCGCTTGAGATAGCTCGTTAATTTATTGTAAAATACTGATGAGGAAGATGTAAAATGATGTAATGAATTCCGGAAATTAAACGAAAAATTGCGGTGTGCAATAATACTTCACATGGAGGCGAACGACGAGAGTTTGGAAATGACGAAATTTTGAATAAAAAAATGTGAATTACTTTTATTGTACATGTGTGTATGAGAGAGACAGATTAAAAATACTGTGACATGTGAATATACCTGAAAAAAGTCACCCCTAGTGGTAACATTTCCTATAGACTGTTTAAAATAAAGTATCTTAGTTATTTATTTACATTTAAGTATGTGAGAAAAATGAATAAACGCAAATTGAAATAATGATAAATATGGAAATGCGCCTCATTAATTCGACAATTAACGTTAATTAGGGATATCCAAGTAGTTTGAGCCATTTTTTTTCGAGAACACAATTTTTGAAAAAAAAAAAAAAACAAAATTAACATATGAGTCCAATAGTTCATAGTCTTAAAGCGTTTTCGAGAATAACGATGAGAGTCAAGTGTGAAATTGAATAAAATATTGTTCACAATATTCATTCAAGAAATTCCCAAAAAAATATATTCAACAGTGAAAATTCCAAAAAAATGTAGGGATGAAAAATTTTCCGACAAAACCGAAATCTTCCTCGAAAAAAAGGTGGCAACTTGACCGAAGTCCTCGGATATCCTCGCCAGATCCGACTTTCATCCAGAATGAGACAATCAACGTAAATATCCCCGGGAAAAGTGGGCGTTGAGGGTTACTTTTGGGGCGGGTCGATTTGGTATTCCGCGTTTGGCGCATGTGCTCCACGGCAATCCCCCAGATTTTTTCCCCATTTCACTGAGAATACAAAAGAGGGTATGGCGCTAAAGAGGCACGCGCGAAGCGATATCAATTGATTTACAGTTGAAAGGTGGCCATGGTTGATATCAAGGTTCAACCACGCCTGTTTTCTCCCTGCATGTTTTACAGGGCCGAGAGTTATGAGCTCTACGCAATGGAATAGAACCCATATAGTCAGCGCACACCTCGTTTAACCCTCGGCCTATTATCAAGTCAGTCCAAACAATTCATTCAATATCAATTTTAGAGGCTGTTCAGATAACAAAATTTATGTTCTCGGGAGAGTCGGATTTTATGTGATGGCTTTTCCGACTTTTGAGTGATTCAATGGCTTGTAATCTCGAACGCGGGTTGATAGTCAGAGTGGGTGTTGGATGCTCTGCTGTGAGAACTTGAGATAGAATCAAAATTGCCGGAAATTCGCAGATCGCGAGGGCTTTGAAGTAACTGGAGCAACATCAATTTCAAGGAGATGCATCCAAATTCTAAATGACTTAATTTATTGCATCCTCATAAGTCATTGACTTTTTCCATAACTGTTTGAATCAACCAAGAAATTATTTCACAAAAATTTTACAAATTTCCAAGTCTCAAGTTGCGACTTTGGAAAGCCCCAATTTGAGAATTTCAAGTCTCAAAATAAAGCTCGTTTTTTTCCCCAGAATAAAGTTGAATTTTCAGCGAATTTTTCTTGCCCATTACTTCTCGTTACTCTTGCCTCGGTATCCAGCGAAGCCAGAATAAATTCTTAAGAAACTTAAGAAAAAAAGCGATTTGACGTTAACCTGTATGTGGGTATGTCGATCTTTCGAGGACGATCGTTAACAGAACGAGAAGCATTTAGCCGGTTGTCTCAGTGCAATGTGCACAGTAGTAGTTATACTGTGCCTCTATTGCACCAGTTGAAGCCGCCGATGGATGCCAGAATGCCATCAACTCACCGGTGATGGCCAACAGCGCTCCAAGAAGCTATATAGAGAAAGAGAGGCTAAAATCCCCCTGGAGGAAAAGATCCCAATGCTGGCGGGTATTAAAATTAATGGTCGGCCGCGAACGCTGACGCGTCACCTTATACCGCCATGCGTCATTCGGATTGACCAATAAATTATCACGGAAGGTCTTTTCTATCCCATCGAGGCTTCTGCTCAGCGATTTTTCAATAGACAAAAATGCGGGAGCTCCTGGCTTAACGCGGGATCTATAATCGAGTAGTGGGGCACAATGAGACACTGCGATGGTACAATGGGGTGTAACTCAAGGTCACGCGGAAGGGTCAAGGGTCAGACTTTGGGTGGAGGGTCTATTTTTTGTCCCGATGATTTTGTTGCACTTGAAAAAACAAGGTTTTTGTTTTGTTAAGCATTTTTAAACCTTGAAAGTTTAATTTGCGTATAATAATCAATATACATGGCTTTCCTACATAAGACTGGGGGTACATTGACTTTATATTTTAATCCAACATTTGTCCAGGAATTCATTAATAGTGACGAGCGAGTTTCTGATGATTATTTCTCTAACATAAACAAGGTATTTTGAGAGTTAATTATGATCTCAAATTGAGACTTTTTAAAGTACTTTGGATATTTTTTCTTCGGTGAAATGCTTTCCTACTTTTGTAATCGAGAATCCGAGCTTTCATTTGAGCCCCATTTGACCATAAGGTTTCCGAAAGTTTAAGCAATTTTAATTATTTATTTATAAACAGCGAATATTCATAATTTTTTTAAAAATTTTCTCGTGTAATTTAATTAACAAATTTGATGATTGGAAATCAACGCTGTAAATTCAACAATTGTTTGTTCTCCCAAAGTGTGAAAGATACTTGAAGGATATCCCCAACTCATTCAAAAGTCTCAAATTAAGACTTTTGAAAATTTCATTTCAAGACCCTTGGAATCGTAAACTATCGTATTATTTTTTGTTCTAAAAATCAAGTGCCGCTACATTAGGAAATACCGAAAACTTGGAAGGTATCGGTGACCTCACAAGATCGATCTCCACATCACAGAGCCTCTATGACATAACGTCACGAGTGAATAAACCCGCGAAATAAAAAAAAAACCCATTCAATGTCAAAGAAGATGCTGAGCAACTTTCACCCAATTATAATTCTCGTGACGAGTTAAAAGTCAAGTTTGGGGTTTTGCCTGCGCCCATAAACGTGTTTTGAGATCCGTATATAGTTCTCATTAAAACGACTGTTTGGGGATGAAGGGTAAATTGCAAAACACGGAGTCGTGATAGTATGTGACGATGGACCAGTGACGAGCGATTGTAACGTCAGTCCCGCAAAGTCGGAGATAATTTATGCATATGTTCATGTTTACAATCGGACAGTTTTTTCAGCATCTCCGAGACCGACCAGTTATGACACTTAATGGCTTAATCCAGGCCTTTAGATTTCTGGTAACGCGATGTGTGGCCCCAAAACCGAAGATTTTTTTTGTCCCGTCGTTTATGTGTACGCGCACGTACGCAGACTCAGTAAAATCTCTTTCTTCCGTCTCAACACCAAAACTGAACATTGGAAATTAATGCTGAACGAAACATTGCCCAAGATGGTTTTCAGTGTAAAATCTCATCTGTTGCTCGGTACTCTCATGCATGAATGCAACGTCACCTGCCGTCTGTACGGGCCCATGACGAACTCTTCATTAACCCTGTCCATTACAGGACACAAGGGGGCGAAGACACGGAATATTGATTGGAGTCGCAAAAAAAAGTCCTCGAGATACAGCAAAAAGAACACGGAAAATTGGTTTCTTAGAATTAAGCGACAAGTAGTTGGTCCAGATTCACAGATTAATGACCATTGTGGGATTAATTAATCCGATTGATGGGTGATTTTGTCCAAATTGGGCGAAATGTTAAGGAGACTAATCCGTTTTTCAAAACACTAATATCTTATTTTAAGATTTCAAAGGTCTTAAAATGAGATTCTCAAAAGTCTTAATTTGAAGTCTGAAAGTCTTGAGAGTTTCGAAATTCAATTTGAGACTTGGAAATGTCAATTTAAGCCTTCTGAAAGTCTCAAGTTCAGACTCTTGAGTGCCTTAAGTTAGGACGTTAGGAACTCAACTTGAAATTTTTCTTTGAGTCAAGTTCTGAAAATCAACTTGACACTTTTGAAAGTCTCAATTTAAGACCTGTCATTTTCTACTTGCGACTTTTCAAAGTCTCAACTTGGGACTTTTAAAAGTCTCAATTTGAAACTTTTGAGCGTTTTAACTTGAGACTCTTATAAGTTTTTCTTTGAATTGAATTCTTAAAGTCTCAACTTGAGACTGTCAAGTCTTAATTTAAGACTTGGCAGTCTTAACTGGAGACTTTAAAAGTATCAATTTCAAACCGTTAAGCGTTTCAACTTGAGACTTTCATATGTTTTTCTTTGAGTTGAGTTTTGAAAGTCTCAACTTGAGACTGTCAAGACTTAATTTAAGACTTGGCAGTCTTAACTGGAGACTTTAAAAGTATCAATTTCAAACCGTTACGCGTTTCAACTTGAGACTTTCATATGTTTTTCTTTGGGTTGAGTTCTGAAAGTCTCAACTTGAGACTGTTAAGTCCTAATTTAAGACTTGGCAGTCTTAACTGAAGACTTTAAAAGTATCAATTTCAAGCCGTTAAGCGTTTCAACTTGAGACTTTCATATGTTTTTCTTTGAGTTGAGTTCTGAAAGTCTCAACTTGAGACTGTCAAGTCTTAATTTAAGACTTGGCAGTCTTAACTGGAGACTTTAAAAGTATCAATTTCAAACCGTTAAGCGTTTCAACTTGAGACTTTCATATGTTTTTCTTTGAGTTGAGTTCTGAAAGTCTCAACTTGAGACTG